TAATCAACCACCCATCCATCCATCCATCCATCCATCCATCCATCCATCCATCCATCCATCCATCCATCCATCCGTTATCCATCCATCCATCCATCCATTATCCATCCATCCATCCATCCGTTATCCATCCATCCATCCATCCATCCATCCATCCATCCATCCATCCATCCATCCATCCATCCTAACTTATGTTTTCATCTTTTTTAGCCACTGTTTTGAGTAAAACCGTTTTATTTTTGGGTCATTCCATCACGGCGACCTCCATCGTCTTTCCCTTCACATCCCCTCCCTCTGCTGTCTCTAACAAAAGTGGCACAGCAATCCAAACAAAGTGTGCTCTAACAAGGCGGATATTTAAATCTGCTGTGTCTGCTGACTTGGTTCAGTGTGGAGGTGAAGAAAACATTTCTGGGATGCAGACTAAGAAAAAATGGAGTGTTCTACTTGCCATTATCCTGCTTTATGCAAAAAATGACAGCAGCAGAGCTAACATTTTGTGGTTTTCAGTTGTATTGTGTAAGAATAAAAGAGATGCGGGAATGAAATCGTCTGTGGATTTTAATATGATGTTTAGAGAGACAGCGAGAGAGATTTTACAGATATGACAATTTTATAGACATAAAGACAAATCTCACCTTTCCTGCTACAGAAGCTCCTTGGTCCCCAGAGAAGCTACAGAAAAACAAAGGGCAAACATTGATCACAGAGAGAAACCTGAAATCTGCCAAATACTCTTTTTCTATGTTTGAAAGGTGTTTAATCATCATTACGATAAAAAAACCTTCCAAACAAAATCACCAGTTAAAAATTATATTTTTCAAAATCATTGTTTGCCTGAAAAAACAGTAAGGTTGAAATTCTAACAAAGAGATGATCACATTTTAAATAACCTTTATTCCACCTATTTGCTCTAATTACTCATAGAAATGACCTTTAATGATAAAAAATATTATGTAAAATCAGCAAAAAATGCAGGACTTAAAATGTATTCTGTCATCCTAAATGGCAAAATTAAATCTAACTAACTTAATTTCAGTTAAAGCCCTTTTTTTTTTTAATTAAGATGAAAATAATATTTCAATTAGCAGGAATGGCAGCTTCATTATTTTCCATTTCACACTTTATTTTAGGCTTATATTTTGATTGAGTGCAGTGTCCAATTTTTTATTAAACTACATGGAATAAAATACAATTTTAAGTCAGTTTTATCAATATTTGCATATCATAACATTTCTGTTCAGAAAGATAAAACCTACCATGAAAATAATTGAAAAAATAAATAATGCAAGTTAATGAAGCTATAAAATATTCACCATATTAAGTAAATTTTTTTTACCTCTTATTGTTACTCTGCTAAAATTGCACAAAAGTTCAGCAAAGCTTAACCTGCTGCTGCTTTCCATGCACATATTTTAAAACTTAGGATGAAAAGTACATTTCAAATATCTTGAATGGCAGATTTTCATCTTTTGTAATCCACTTCTCATCCATCACAGGCTCATAAATGCACAGTGCTTCCTATTTTAAGTCTTCATCAGAGCTTTCGTGTCTTTGAAATTTGGCAGAAACTGACGTTTAGAGAGGCACTGCTGCAGGAAATATAAAAAGTCTTCAAGGCATTTTTCTCACTCCATTCGAAGCCCAGTCAAAAACAGAACACCTTTAACTTTCTTCAAGAGGTTAAATGAATTATTTTAGATTTGCATTATTATTTTCAGACGTCTGTTTGGGGTAAAATATTAAGCATTTGGTCAAATCTCCAGTATAAATGACCGCCAGTGACAAGTTAAGAGTAAAACATATTCACTCTTTCTTTTAATATCTTAAACAATCTGTAGGCTTTCAATTTAACCAGCTGATATTTAAGAGTTTCTCCTATTTTAATAAATTTTCCTAAAACCTGCATTTTAGGGTTTTCTCAAAGATTTAGAAGAAAGACTTCCTACAGTTGCAGGCCCACCTTGATCTAAATCAAATCTCAGAAAAGTGTCAATCTGATTTTAAATCACTTCATAGCACCCAGACAGCTCTCTTAAGAGGTTTTAATGATATTCTTTTTGGATTCTGGCAGCCCAGCTGCTCTTTCATTGTTTGAACCGTCAGCACCTATTCACTTCCTTCTCATAAGGCACATTTTGTTCACATCTCTTTAAAAAAGACTTTTTATGCTAACATGAATCCCTGCAGTTTGGAAATAGCCCCTCCAAGTTATGTTGTGCCACAGGGCTCCATTTTTCACATCCAGCCTTGTTTGCACTGCACATGTTGCCTATGGGATCCATGTTTTCAGGGTATAACCTTTCATTCTATTGGTTCACTGATTACCTTCAGATTTATCTGCTCCTAAAAGCAGGGAAAGAATCATTTTAGCTCTAACTGTGCTGCTTTAAAGACGTTAAAAAGCAGTTGTTCCCAAACTTTTTGGAATTAAATGAAAACAAAAGAAGGATTTTCTTCTTTTCACTCTAATAAGAAAATGCAACTCCATCTTCAATGAATTGCTTGAATCAGTAACAAGTAACTCAATTATGTTTGCCTAACTTAATTTATTGAACTTGGCAAGTACCGTATTTTCACGACTATAAGGCGCATATAAACGTGTTTTTTCCCTCAAAATGTGCGGCGCGCCCTATGTGTGTTGTTACTTCGGACGTTGTTGAGACCACCATGAGAATGTTAAAGGGGGAAGTGTGGCCGTGTATTGTGTATAAAAGAACAGGTATGTGCTTTATGCAGAACTCCTCATCTCCTCATTGTGGAGATGATGAAAGAGTGGCTGAGGGAGGTGAATGTCAGGAGACCAAGTGTTTTTTTTTTCCACGCATCACCATCGCTGTTAATCTGTGACTCCATGCGTGCCCATCTCACAGCCGATGTGTAAAAACAAGGTAAAACAAATGAACGCTGTGCTTGCTGTTATTCCGGGAGGTCTGACAAAGGAACTTCAACCGCTCGACATTGGTGTGAACCGGCCGTTCAAAGTAAGGCTACGTTCAAGCGTCTGCTGCTTAATTTTTGCTGCTTGTACCAGTTTAGTTCTGACGCTTTGCTGCTCTGGCTGCACGGTGCAAAAGTGTGTCTGACGCGCGTTGGGCGGAGCTACTCTATCCTTTCTTTGCCTTG